TCATTTTAGAAAGATTAAAAAAAGGGGTACAATTTTCTTAGCTAAACATAGTCCTACAAAACTGTACATCTACACCATATCCACACAGTTTGACTGCAGGATCAAAAAGTGTCTCAATTGAGCAAAAAGTTACAAACTGACACTTAATGTGGTTAAAAATTCTTAAAGAAATAATTACTATTTAAGAAAAATTTATGAGTTAATAATCTATCACCATTTTTTTAAATTTACTTTTTTTAGATTCATGTCGAATAACCTCTGGTAAGCTGTTTAATGGGTGCACTGGAATGCCTATTTGCCGATGTCATACTTTTATAATTTAAAAACAATCTTGATAATAATGTAAAAGAAAATGGAATAAAACACAATAAAACTGGCAATTCATAATTAGAAGTTACTTACGTCATAGGTTTAGAATATTTTTTCTAAATTTACACTAACAGATCGATACGAGTTGACCAGTACAAGCTAGCACGCAACCGAGAGTATTGTGCTGGAAATAACAATTACATTAAGCAAAATTTACTTAGTGAGTAAATTTTTTGTATGTGTAGTGGTTGGCCTCTTAATTGACTGTAATATGACGTAACGAAATATTGAAATAGTTTTCTGTTTATACAAAATAATGAATACAAAACATAAAAGCTTTTGGACATTGAGTGTAGATTGTGTTTCACATTAATATATTAATGCGAGTTAAATTCAGATGCATAAATGGAATGACATTTCCGTGCTTTCTGGATTTTCCACTATTTCAGACTTGTTTGTCTGTTTTTCTGTCATAATGGTGACATGGCTATTGTGTACAAGGTATTTATAATTATATAAAATGCAGATTTCCTACATACTCAATGTACAGTGTCTTTCAGAAATAAGTTTAAAGAAATTCTTGTTCTTACACTAGCGAAAACTTTCAGATGTCGGAACCGCTGCTTTGGTTTACTTCAACTATATAGTTTAATGAGATAACGGCATTATGCTTTGTGGTAATGCCGCCGACATTAATAGAATCTTTGTTTTGCAGAAACGTGCGGTTAGGGAAATTTACAATCAGGAACCCAGAGTGCTTTTAAGAGATAAATTTAAAGAAATTAACATTCTTACACAGTCCATTTATGAAAATGTAATTTATGTTAAGAAGAATAGCAATTTTTTTATGAGAAACAGTGACATAACATTAATACGAGGATATAAAATCAATTGAATGTTATTGACAATTGCCTTCACAAAGTTAAGAATTCAGTTAAGAGGTATTGTAAATACGCTGCTATAACCAGATTCTAGTTGATATTTAAATATTTGCCATTCACGAGGCTTAAATCTGTAGAGAAACAAAAACCATATTAAAGGTTTATAGGTTCTGCGGACTAGGATGACAAAAATGCATGACAGGGATCCGTTTAGCTTTTGCAGGTTGCCATGATAATAACGCACACACACACTGAACATAGCCCCGCACTAGGGAAACCCTGTGTCGCGGGTGCCATGGACACACACATAGACAACCACAAATTACACCCAAACTCACGAGAGAAATAATTGTAGGCCATACAACTATTTCTCCCGGCCCGGGAATCGAACCTGGGACCTCTGCGTGACAGTCCGGCATGGTAACCGTTCGGCCACGGAGGCAGTTAAATGATGTAAAGTTAAATGATGGAAAAAAATATTGTACATATTAAATGTATACAATGTTTATTTACAAAGAGTAATTGCCTGGTTTCAAGCTAAGGAGTTTCCGTACAATAAGTACCAGAGCCACAGACGACTACTGGGTAGTTCCAGAACGCCTTGTTCGGAATCAATTTCGGATTGGATCTCAACCACGTTAATTTGCTAAATTGCTCTACAGGGAATCGAACGTGGAACCTCCTCGTCCATTATCCATAGTAGAAATCATTAGGCCAGGTCGTCAAATTGGGTACACCTTTTTTATACCACGTCACCTATTGAGAAAGTGTATTGAATTCTTTCAAGGGAACTATCGTTAACCAAGCTGTGGTAGATCCCACACGCTTCCGCGTCTTTGTAGATTACTTCTACGACAGTAGCAACAGTAGAGATCCTTCTGAAAGAGTTCTTCCAGGGAAGTACTGCCACCTTACCTATTTCTGCCGCCAAGCAGTAATGTCAGCATTACTGAGTTCCGGTTTAGAAGGGTACGGTTGCTGGTGAAATTACAGGCACATGGGACATGTCAACATATTTCTCAAGGTGACGGGCACAGTGGCAGTGCCCCTTAGATCTTTGCGATTTAAAGCTCTGAGGACACTGCAATTGTTGTGGACAGGCGTGTAACTTACCTTCAGGCACACGACTTGTTCGTCCTGTCCCTTGGTATTATAAAAAAAACATAAATTACAATATAAATTGGTGTATAGCTACTATAACCATTCCAATATTGAGGGGTTTTAATACACGCTTATTCCATCGTAGTCTATCTTCGATCTTATTTGCTAAGTCTAATTTGTTAAATATCTATAAAACCAATTTATTCTGGCCATAATAGGGACGTATTTCCTACGATATCACGATGCACTAACTTTCCATATTATTTCAGTTAAGCTGCAACAACAATGTAAGTGCAGCAACACTGGTTGGTAGCTAGGTTTGAAAGCCAAGTTGGGCGTAACTACGTCACGTGTCACGGTAATTGCATCCGCTACAGATATGGAACTTTATTGACAAGGTTTTAGTGGATTAATTCCAATGACTTTGGCTTACACGTTCCGAGCAGGATTGAGCTGTTAGAGTAACGTGTTCAGGAAATATGCGAGTTTGATTTCTATAAAACGAAAGATACTTTAAGCGTAGCTAACGCGAGTCAGGATTGGGGCTTTACAATTTTAACTATTATTAAAGTAAATGGCATAAGGTTGAATTTAAATAAGACGTAAGACTTGGATAGTTGCTACAACTGTACCAAGGACAGTCCGGTCGTGTATCGAGCATTTTTGCCTATGGGACAGATCTATTAAATACCTGCTGGTCTCAGAGTAAATAATACCTCCTTATAAAATCCGGGAATTAAAAAATATAAGACTTATGCCCACTTGCACTAAATTTAAGCACGTTTAAATCAATGCTTAAAATACTCTTGACACAACATTGTGACCCGCCACAAAATGCCGACAGATCGCGCGTTATGGAAATTTCCGCGGACCGATGTCGACGCAAGCGGCGCAGGCAACAGCGGGCGGGAGGGGGATGAGAATTCGATCTATTACTCATGATGGCCGGCGCATTAAGCCGGTTTTGGTTCTAATGTGGTTTCTAATATACGTAACTTATGGGGATCTAAACCACATCTTCTTCTCCTGCTCCTCAATTGACCACGATACTTTCATATCCGAACTTCTGGCAATCAGTGTCCCACTCCCCACCTCCATAACAAGTTTATTGTAATGAAATTAAAATTTATTTGCTTAAAATATGGTGAACAAGTGATCGAACACAGAGAAATAGAGATCATATTTTACCAAATCTGGCATGCAAAATAATACTTACAGTGATTGAATTAATTGATTAGGTTACAAATAATGTCAGTAGACAATATGTAGTCAATTAAAATAATAGCAATAATTAAAGAAAATCAATCTATTAAATATTATAATATCAGTAGTAATTTATATGCCAATGTTAGAACGAACACGGCTCGCAACAGAATCGCCTTCCTGTGAATTTCCGATCGCGTCTGATTGATTGACTGATATTTATTATTATGACTGATTGGCTGATATTTATTTGCATAAAATATGTTTTACAAAAGGTGGTATATTGTAACAGTTTTCATATTTTACCAAAACATGCAAATTTTATTACATTACAAATCTCTTTCTTTTTTTACAAATTTTATAAATCTGAAGCTAATTCTAGTAATGTAACTAGAGTTATTAATTATACATGTCACAAGTAGTTGTAAGCTATTGTCATGTCATGCAGAAGTGAAAATGAAAAAAATAAAAAATAATATAATAAATTCATGTCACTGTAGGTCAAATCAATTATACTTACAGTCAAATTTGAAGAGTTTTATATGAAAAAAGGTATGTAATAGAGTAGAAATTTTTATTTGTCACCCATGACATCAGCTTACGTTTAAATAAATGATTACTATTTATATCTTTTATATTAGAGGGTAAAGTGTTATATATTTTCACACACATGGCTCTCTGGTAGTAACTTAATTTGGTACTACTGTGATTTACTAAATCTGGGTATCTTACATTTCTGTTGTGAACGTCTGGTGTCCTTTTAAAAAGTTTATAATTATTTTTGACAAAAATAGACACCTCAAAAATGTACATACAAGGCAGCGGTAGTATGTTAAGAGTTTTGAACAAAGGTATACACGATTCTCGGAGTCCCAAGCCACACATTTTTTTGTGCTACGAATAATTTACTAGCAGAAACAATTTATTAACATTTTGTATTTATGTAACAAATATGGTTATAATGTACTGGCCTTGTTTATCGAAAATAATGATATCAAGCTTTAGTATGTACCTAACCTACCATACCCTATTTCATCCAAATTCCGTACCTCTTCCATAATATGTAATTCTGCTTTCTCAACCCTTTTATTGGCTAAATGCGAAGGCAAAGTCATTCATATTAAAAAAATATATATATTAAATTGAGACTATTATTTAACCACACACCTTACATTAAACATTCACAATTACAGTAATTGCTAGTTACACGTTTAAAATATGAAACAAAATACAATACAATAAATCTGAGATTTCAAAGGGAAATATAATCCACTGTACGTGGATATATTTCCTTAATTTATAGGAAAAAAACTTTGCCTATTTCATCTCTGCATATAACACTAAAAGCAAATGTAAATAAAATCTTACAATTTTGTGGACAATGACAAATGAAGAAAGATACACTTATTTTTTTTATTAAAAAGGACCATATTTTTAAAGAAAATCCATATATAAACAGCGGAATCACATTTTTTCTTAATAATTTTGTCAGATTCAGTAAACAAATTAAATTTTCGCAGGAATGGAAAGTGTATTCGTACTATTGCCCCAAACTATTGGCTCAATCCAATCTAGAAAGCTGGAGACTTTAACGTAGACACCTGGACTTTTCTCTCGGCCACATCCAACGCCAAACGATACAATACCGGCTATATGGTACATGTAACCCTGCGATGGGTTACGTAGCGGTATGCTGACTTGAAGTGGACCTCCAGAGTCGCCCTGGAATTTTCAAAGAAGATAAAGTTTGATATTTTTCATGGGAGCGATTCAATCGATATAACCACAAATCATAAATTACAATGGTCAAAGAATGCTCAAGGGATATAATTAAGTAATGGATTAAAAACATGAAATATTCATGCACTCAGTATAATAACTGATTAAAATAATAACTTTCAATCGAACATTCCGATTCAGAGTATTAGATGACTTGCGACCATAACAGCAAACGTGCAGAGAGAGCGAAGCGAGCACCCATTGGTGAAATACAAGATTCCATTAAATAAGTAAAATAGTAGTAAAATTTGGTTTTCAATATCAATAACATCAAAATAAATCTTGTAGAACTCTTTTTCCTCTAAATTTAGAACGGAGACCATTTCAGTGGCAAGCGCACTACGCAGTGGCCGCTGATGCGCTAGAATCTAATATAGTAAGATAATAATAGTAAAATATGATTATTACCAAACATGTTTATTGTATATAAAAAATAAGCTTAAAGTACTGATATTTCTCCTAGGTTAGGATAGGATTGAATTGCGATCATAACGGTGCCGAGCGAGCGATCCGAGCGTGCCGAGAGTGGTCATTATTTTTTAACATTCTACCTAATGTTATATGCTGAAGGTTTTTTATATATAATGAAATCACACCTTTTGTTATACCACTTATTAATGTACATAAAATTATACTATGATTGATTATGTTAAATATCATTTTACCGAGTGAAAATAAATCATATTACGTTGCTATATCGATCATTAATCACGTCTTTTTTATTCTCACAACCTAATTAACTAAATAATCTAACAATAGGTACGAAATCAAGATTGGTAAATTAGAATGTAGTTAACTATATTGTTGTATAGTCCAATCCCTGTTGGGTAAGAGTGGCCTAAACTCTCTCTTTACAGGACTACCCAGCAGTGGGACATGCAATTTGATTGGCGATGTTGTATATACTTTATTTTTTCAATGTGTTACTTAATATAATTTAGAATTACAAGCAAAACAAATATACCTACAAACGTGATAAAAGCATTACCTGACAAGTATCGACTCCGCCTTCCAACTTGCCAGCGCAAAATTGATGGTCCTGTAAACCACACCAATTCCTGTTGCATGAAGGCTTTAGCAGAGTGTCGCAGGTTTGTGAATTTATGACGTTCACGGCTGCCTTCATAAGGCCACGCGGTTTCTGATTGTCTTGCCCTAGAAAAATCGATATGATAAATTCTGGCAACATGTATACATTGTTTTAAGCATTGGTTCTTCATTGTTTAAAACTTTGATTAGGTTGCAATATTTATTTATTGAATATTTTACTACAGCGATTTTTTTTTGAGAAAATACTCCATAAGTTTATTTATTATGGTACAGGGTCAAGAGCACGTCAAGCATGACACTTGATTTAAATTCAACTCTATGCCGCTTACGATAAGAACGGTCCAAAGTACAAAGTGTCAATCTTGACGTGCTCTTCACTGTACAAAGATTGATCAATAAAAAAAATATTTCGAGAAATATCCACGATATTTAATAAATAAAAATTGCAACGATTACAGCGACATCCCTCGCCAGTTTCTGGTTGCTGTAACTGTACATGGCTAAGTTTCTCACAGATGGCTTAATGAACAGAGATATTTGTAAGATCTGCTGACTCGGTCTGTAGCTCAGTTGGTAAGAGCGCGAGCGGTGGAACCGGCACGGCAACAAACGCTAGCACAAATCCTGTCAGATCGAAGAATTTTTTATTTGTATTCTTAATTCGATTGATATCTCGCAGTTCTCGTAAATTGTCCTCTGATTCTACTTTCTGTATGTTACTATAACCTAGACGAGTAATGACACTGAAAACATAAAAGTCTTACTTTCAGCTGTCACTCCCCATCCACAGATAGATCCCTTGTTAAACGTGATATCATCAGTCCAAAGACAAGCTGGCTGGACCTGTGCCGAAAAAAAAACTTCCTCCGCAAGTTCCAGTAAGGCTATGTCAAAATATTTCTGCGGGGACTTATATCGAGGATGACGTATAATCTTCGATATGTGGTAGTCGTGAATTGAAAATAAACCCTGAAAATGACAACATGTAAAAAAGTAGCTGGTTCGATAAATAAGCGTATAGTAAAGTCTGCATAATGTGATAACAAACATATTTTAAACACTTACTGCTTGCGATGGGTATTCAGTACCAAATCTAACCAATTTAGGTTCAGGGTGAGCAACCATTCGGGACGAGTAATAAGTACAATGCGCAGCTGTTAGAACAAATCTCGGACTAATAAGAGAACTTCCACAAACAAATTGAAATTCATCTTCAACGCCTTTCCATCCAATTGCTCCCTGGGAAATACAAAACAAAAGAAATGTGATCTTAAATTGCTTCCTTGTAAGGACGCTTATTCCAATCTGGTCACTACTGTACCACTGGATTTTAAAACTTCACATATTCGATCGAAGATCGCGAAGCAAATGTTTGCAAAGTGGTTAATTATCGTTCACGTATCAAAACATGAATTTTAAATAATTAAGTATTATGATCACTTCATCATACTTACCATATGAGGAAATTCTTCGATTGATGCCTCCCGTCCTCCAATTATCATAGGTCTTCCAAAACCCATATATTGCTCCATTTTGGTTAAAATATTTTTGCCTATGAACAAAAAAAAATTGATATTTATTTTTAAACCGCCACTTTTTATTAAGCTTTCGTGGTCATAATAGGAGTCCTTATAAATTCGTCCTCAGTACGTTCGTTCATCTTTTTATCGCAGTTCTTTTATATCTTACTCGACAGTTTATGAACAGATTTTAACGAGGATATATGTTAATACGTCGTGTGTTCAAAAAGTATCGCGAATTTTGTGTTTTTTCAAAAATTATTTATTTATTCATGAATATCTATTTTGTCCCCTTCAAAGTAATCCCCATGAGATATTATACACTTGTGCCAACGGTTTTTCCAATCTTCGAAGCACTTCAAAAAATCATTTTTTTTATCTTGTTCAGCTCCTCCTTCGATGCCGTCTTTATCTCGTCAAGCGTAGCGTAACGTCGTCCTTTCATGGGCCTCTTCAGTTTAGGGAACAAGAAAAAGTCACAGGGGGCCAGATCTGGGGAATACGGTGGCTGCGGCATCATTAGTGTGTTGTTTTTGGCCAAAAAGTCGCGCACAAGCAACGATGTGTGAGCAGGGGCGTTATCGTGGTGCAAAAGCCAATTTTTGTTCTTCCACAAATCCGGGCGTTTCTGGCGGATTGCTTCGCGCAAGTTGCGCATAACTTGCAGGTAATATTCCTTATTGACCGTTCTACCGTGTGGCAAGAACTCATGATGCACCACGCCCCTGCAATCGAAGAAAACTGTCAGCAAAACTTTCACATTCGACCGAACTTGGCGCGCTTTTTTCGGTCTTGGTTCGTGCGGCAGCTTCCATTGAGATGATTGAGCTTTGGTTTCCACGTCGTAACCATAAACCCACGATTCGTCACCAGTTATGACCCTCTGGAGCAAATTTGGGTCGTCGCGGACAGAGTCCAACATCTCATTACCAATGTTCATGCGATGCTGTTTTTGGTCGCAATTGAGCAATTTTGGTACGAATTTCGCGGCGACCCGTCTCATGCCCAAATCATTGATAAAAATCGAATGGCATGAGCCAATCGATATGTCTAGGTCCTCAGCAACTTCTCTAACGGTGATTCGACGATTGGCCAATACCATTTTCTCCACTTCATTAATTTTTTCGTCTGTTGTTGAAGTGCTCGGGCGTCCGGCACGCTCTTCGTCGTTCACATCTTCTCGGCCTTCTGAGAACATTTTGTACCACCGATAAACGTTGCTTCGGTCCAAGGTAGCTTCTCCGTATGCCACAGTCAACATTCGGAATGCATCCGCGCACTTAATTTCGTTTTTCACACAAAATTTGATACAGGTTCTTTGATCCATTTTTTTGAATAGGTAAAAATCGAAGACGATCTAAAACACGTGCAAGCAAAGCAGCTGTCAACAATTAAGTGAACATTCAAAATGGCCGAGCTTGTCGGCATAAGTGAGAGACATGAGTACCAACATAACGCCACAAAAAAATCGAAATTCGAATATAAGGAACCCGCGAAAATTCAAAATTCGCGATACTTTTTGAACACACTCGTATATCACAAAATCAGGAAAATTTCTAAAATAGCTTTTTTCTACAAATTTCATAAACAAATTCACAAATAACTTAATGGTTATACATAGTTTCTATAGTTCCACTGTTGGGTACAGGTGTCCTCTCGCAATGAGAGGAGGTTTCACACACGTCATTAAATTGCTTTGCAGATGTGTACCGGTTTCTTCACGATGTTTTCCTTCATCGAAAAGCTTACTAAATTTCAAATAAATATTTCGCACATAAATGCCGAAAAACTCACGACTCTCTATTGGAGAGTCTAACCATTAGATTACCATGGTTATAACTTTAGCTTTTATTTATTTATGCAACTAGCTGTACCCGGTATGAGTTACAATGTCAATGATGGCTTGTGCAGTCTTCAACCCGCATTGCGCCAACGTATTGCAATACGGCCTTAACCCTTTCCCTAGAGGAAACCCGTGGTAGCAACAGTGGTATCCTAACTTTTCAGAAACTTTTGCGAGATCGTATCAGCAATGAAAGTTTTTTATCAATCCGATGAATAGTAATGTAGTGCACACCGGACAAAATACATTCATATTAATGCGTTAAGAAGATAAATGAGATCATGGGCCGATTCAATGTGCTTTAGTTCGATTTCTTTAGTAGGGTATGTTCAAGCTTAAGTGAGTTTGTACCATCGGGTACAAACTCACTTAAGCTTGTTTATGAAAAGTACGTGTTAGTATTTTAAATTGAATACATACATTCATATTTATGTTAGAATATAGATGCGGACTACCATGGGTGGGTTTAATGTCTTTTTTGTTCGATTTTTTTAGTAGGGTGTATAGGCAAGCTTAAGTACGTTCGTACTATAGGGCACTCATTCATGAAACTAGGCATTAGTATTTTAAATTTAATACTTACATTCTCTTTGCCGCTCCGTTCTTTTAGATCTGACTTCAGAATCCCAAATGTATTCCTTACATTCTGAAAGAATATAAACTCTATGATTTCTATTAAATTACATGAAAACTGGTACCGCCCAATTCGACCTTAGTTTTGTTATTATGTATAAAATCGGCTTAAGATTGTCCACAATCCCACAAAATGTATGATGTGAAACAAGATGATCTGTTTACAGCCGGTTGTTTATTACGGTTCTTGTTTGTTTTGTTAATCCTTATTTCCTTACCGTTATATTCGTTACATACTTCGAGTCATTTTGCTTGTAGAATAGGATTTTACAGATGTTTGTTAATTTATTATTAAAACCTTTTTCATCGGCACTATTAGATAAAGCTTCGGGACTATACTTTAATTACTTACTTACTTACGTTATCTTTTTAACAATTAATTAAATTAATAATATGTAAGCAAAGGTAAGCTAAAATAAATAACATAGTAGACATGTCTTACTAGTGGCACTAATTCGTTGTCCGGGAACGTTGAAATCAGGTTTCGGTGGGTTGAAAGGAATACAAGTTTCCGGTACCTCATTTAAACCGGTGCACTGTAATTAATAATTTGAATACTGAAATATTAAGTTTATTCAATTATTTTCGTTAAATTAGTCCACTGGTGAGCAAGGAAAAACTTTCATAGGTTTCTTCTTCCGTAGCTCAGTTGGGAGAGCGGTAGCTCTGGTATCGCGCAAAATAACCATAAACTAGTGGAGTAATTTCACATAAATAAATGACATATACATACTCATAATATTCATTACAATCAATATTTACTTAAGTGTCTATATAAACTGCAATAATCTGATAGGATTATTTGCATAAAAAGTTATAATTTTTTTTTATCGCAAATCCATTGGTTTTCATAAGGAAATTTGTTCATTGTCATGGATTGAGTTGCCTCGTGAAATTCCACTCGAATTATTTTTATGCCCTACATACGCGTTGCGCATTTGTATGACGCGTGGAGGAGAAATATTCGCTCAAATGCTGATAACGTTTTAAGCCTGGATTCTACGGAGCAGTTTAATTGTTCAAATTTTTGACTCGAGTAATTTAATTACTACAATTAAAACATTGAATATTAAGCGAATAGTATTATATAATTTCAATGGGATGGCTACAGGATATAATAATATACATGGCAACTAAAAAAGTGAATATAAAAAACAATGATGTACGCTTTGTCACAATCGCAACGATGCCACTGATAACGACGGTACGCGTTATTTAGAATAGTCCCCAATTATAGTTTTTCTGAAATCTATATTTCACTCTATAGTGTATTATACTATAATAAATTTAGTACAAAGACTAAACACAGATAAAAACAGGACTCCACGTCGACAGAATTAATGATTGTAACAAATTAGTGTCGTATGCGTTAAGAAGGAGGAAGCAAGCGCTCGAGAGTATTTTATTTTATTATGCATGCAGGTTTCCTCATTACGTTTTTCTTCACTGAAAAGCTCATCGCAAATTTTGCACATGAATTCCGAAAAATTAGAGGTACACCTCTAACTTTTACATCTAAAGCCCGAATTCGAACCCATGATCCTTTGCTTGAGAGGTGATAGATCAAACCATTAGGTTACCACTGCTTACTCGACATTACTTTGAGGTGTGTGATATCAAGCGATGGAACGAAAAAGCTGTGGGCCTGGCAGTAAGTAACATGCTTATCCATGACAATTACAGTGTCAATCAGAGTTTTAAATCGCAGAGATCTGAGCGGTGCTGCCACTGCGCCTGTCACCCTGAGACATAAGTTGACAAACTCCATGTGCCTGTAATTTCGTCAGTATCCTTATCCTTCAAAACAGGAACACTGATGATCTTAAGTGATTTTTGCAGCAGGTCGTGTGGCTTGCTGGTGGGACATCTCCAAGCTTTACCAGCAGGCTGACTGGTACGCCGTGATCCCACCAGCAAGAGACGGATGTCCCCACTAGGGACGAGATCAATACTTGATTACGAACTGGATCAGTTGCAGAAGAGTCAAACAATTGGCTGTGTTCGCCGACGCGCAACTTATATTGTCGGCCTGCTGATGCAACCTTTGACTAGAAAAATCCGGCGGTCTACATGGTCTGCTGGGTAAAATTCCAAAATACATGGTGGCCTGCTGCAGTTTAATTTTTGTGGTGGCGCTGAGAGTGTTAAACGAGCTCTATCACAGAGACCTCTACTGCTTCTATATAATATGAATGTGTTATGTTATTTTGTATTAGGAGTATAACTCGTAAATAATATTTTTTATAGTACAGGCAACTGAACTCCACAAGGCATTTATAAAAATAATATTCTTTCTCTATACTTTGTTTTTATTGTATTTTTTTTATAGAAATATACTTTTTTTATTTTGTTCCGTACTTACATCGGGTTTCTGTGTGGTTGTAGGAATCGGATCGACGTCTGGAACGGTATTTTGTTCACACCAGTTGCACTGTGAAATGACAGATATCGAAATGAAAATAACAATTAAAAACACGTTTTTAGCAATCCGTTTCCACTTAGATCGGTTCTATACGATCAGCTACTAATTATGTCATAAAAATTAACATCCAACCTACCATCAATTTTTTTCTAATATTTTAGCATAGTATTAGGAACAAGCGTCATCTGACGACACGGAGCTTGGGATCGGATGAGTCGGGCACAACATCGCTAAGAATGGAAGAAGAGGGAAGAGGCCAACATCCAAGATTGGATAACAAAATGGCGGCCATGATGATTATGAACACAATATTTAGTATTCTTATCGAGTTCTTACGTTTTCGTGATTGTTGTTACACTTAGGAAATGAAATAATCTTTTCGAATCTTAGTAGGAGTATATTTGGTGTTTCCAGGTTATATAAAAAAAATATTGGCATAATGTTAGTATATGTAAAGTAGTAGGTTTTCTTGTACAATTTCAAGGTAAGTTTGTATTTATTTTCTACCGTGAAAATTTTAGGGAATTGTGTTTTCATACCATATATTAATTAGTGTATAATATCCTCAATTTTACTATATATTTTTTCCTAAGGCATGGATTTAACACTTTCACTGTTATGCGGAATCAACCAAAGCCATTTCATGTTGTATCGACCCAGATTAAGAATAGATTATGATTAATTTCACGTATTAACTAAATTTTTATGTACATGAAAACCTAGGAAAATTGATATTTATTTAGGACATGAAACTATTTTTCCGGATTTAAATCGCGTATATTTGTTTTTTCAAACAAACCGACGTTTCGGGCCCTTTACAGGGCCCATGATCACGGTTGACGGAAAAATAGTTTCATTTCCTACGTGTAACAATCGCGAAAACCTAAGAATTCGATATGATATTTATTGTTTGACATTGACTTTTTTTAATAGTAACGCACGCATTCACCATAGCCCCGCACTAGGGAAACCCTGTGTCGTGGGTGCCATGGACACACACATAGACAACCACAAAATACACCCAAACTCACGAGAAAAATAAATGTAGGCCATACAAATATTTCTCCCGGCCTGGGAATCGAACCTGGGTCTTCTGCGTGGCAGTCCGGCATGGTAACCGTTCGGCCACAGACGCAGTTCTTCAGTTCAGTTGAGTTCAGTTCAGTATTACTAATTCATATATTTGGTTGCAATTGACACAATGTACTCTAGGTATACAGAATGTATTGACGATACGCCCGTTTTATAAGAAGGTTCCAACTTTGATTTCCGATGGGAGCAATTTAGAAACAAACTTTTGTAAATATTTCTGTTTTGGGTTTGCTAGGCGTAACTGGAGGTAATTTCACACTTAAAGTACAGACAATTCCCAGGTTTGTGATTGATTTTGACTGGCTTAATGGAATATTTACTTATTCAATTATTGAAATTAGGTGTGAAAGATGTGATAATTAATAATTACCCGCGTTACTTTTCGTAAATTCATCCACTGTTTTTCACCCTTAGAGGTGGAATATTTTCTTCAAATTTAAATGAGATCACTACTGAGGTATTTCCAATACAAAAAATCATCAAAATCAGTCCACAAGTGCCGGAGTTATTGGGTAACATATACATAAAAAAATATTCAGTCGATAACACCTCCTTGATTTTTGAAGGCGGTTAATAAATAACACAAGCGCAATTAAACATAAGCGCAACTACGTCACAAACACAACAACTAAAAATATGCCCGACACGTGTTTCGCCTTTCTATGAGGCATTCCCAGGAGTACGGATTGTACGACACTTGGCTGAAGAATTCTTCTTTCATTTTCCTTTTCGAAAGGTGGGAAAATGAACTTCATGAAATAAATTATCACAACAAGTGCAGCTATTTTGCACGATTTAACTATCACTAGGTTCGCGGAGTAACACATTAATTTACTTCCATTTATAAGAAAGATGTGAGGTATAATTTACAAAAAGGAGTCTATGCATTTGTCCACCGCTCACCCGTGTATTTAATGCATGCTGTATATCATAAAGGGTACTTACTTGTTTGCGTTGTCCAAAACTGCATTTTTTGCATTCCTTAGCTCTACTTAAGGCTATTATAAAAACTGAAACACACGAAGATTATTATTTGTGACATATTTAAAGTACATTGGCTGCCACTAATATAAGTACAGAGGTAACTTTGACGACCACAAATTACACCCAAATACCAAAACACAAAGTACAAGTTTCATTATAATTACAATTTAAAAAAAATATATATTGTGGTATTGAAAAGCAAGCCTTAAAATTTTCCGTTTGGATACATTTTTTTGTTTTAAAATAAAAAAAAAAATAAAAATAACGCACCAAATATGAAAACTAAACAAACTGTTTTTGTGATTTTCATTTTTTTTAGTGTACACACAAACTGAAGAAGTTACGAGCCCATTAATAGTTTGAGGATTAAACACTGCTGTGGCCTCTTGAGACTGGCCTCTAAATATAAAATACTTGTTCTATATTAACGAATCAATTAAGAAATTTATCAGCATGTTATTAACCAATATGTGAAAGTGATGACACCGGTAATTTGATCGCTTAGAAAATAATGGGTTTCTCAATTACTCAATAAATAAAATATTGAATTATTAAAATAAATTAACGACGAACAGGTTGTAGCACGCAAGGCAATGAATAAGTTTTAATATTTTATTTTGTATTCACAGTAGAACAAATACATGGATACCTCAAGTTCTTTATTCCTTTGAGCACTTCATTTTAATTGTGCTAAAATAAAAATAGATGGCGTTGTTTGTTGTGACACATTGTCTTGTCTTTGCGTAACTATTATTTTTTCAAGACAGTAAAATGATGTTTGCAGGCATTGACTTACATTTGTAAGTCAATGTTTGCAGGGTTGCCATTTTTCTTAACATTTTTAATAGTCATGTGTAATTGTTGTCGACAGTTTTATCGATAGATGGAAAGGAGATAAAATTTTGCAGAAACGCATGAAGAGTGACAACAGTGAACAATGTTAAGAGGTTATAATGTTTAATAATTATTTTCTTTCTTCTTATTTACATTAATATCGGAATAAGAACAGATAAAATATAAATAAGAATACTACCATTAGGTCTACTGGTATCGAAATCTTTTAAAAAAAATTGAGGTACAGAGGAGTGGTCTTTTTCTCCGAAGATGTCTATTTTATTTATACAGTCTTTTCGTTTTATAAATCTTAACTTTATTCAAATGGAAAAGGTCTGCCATTTTTGTTCTGTAAGCGTAACCAGTATTCAATTGATAGTTGATCGAATATTTATCGACTGCAACTATTTGCAACTACTTGCTCACAATCTGGCAACGCTTTAGCGCATTGAATTATAATTATACTCCGTCTTGGAAAAAATATAATAGAGAGTGATATGCTAAACTTGAAGTTTACAGCCTGTATTAGTCTCCTTGGTTTCCAGTATAACTTGGAATGCATAGTCACCCCATACTTAAAAATGCAAAAAGGTAAAAACTTTGCAATATTAAGTGTCTACTTAGTATACAGATTTAAAAGTATGAACATTGAAATTTTGTCGTGGTGTTTTTATCCATTTAAAGTAATAAAGAGCCATTTATAAGAGAGTCGTGAGAACTTTAATGGATAATATTTTGCAAAACTTAACGTTTTAGTGTTGTATAAGTGCCAACTATCCATTTATATTTTATTTATGTATTTTATGCCTGGCAGCGACAATGGCAAATAAAATCCATAAATTTAAATATAATGTAAATGGCGGATAGGATCAAGGCCTTGGTCTGGAGCCTGCTCCATAGCAATTAATTTTAACCCCTTTACATGCCACTGGTTTAACATAACGGTGTCTTGAGTGAGTATACATTTATACGTGTGTGCTACGCTTATCTTAGGTAACGTTTCATCACGTTCAAAGTGTATTTCTTGGTGTGCTTCGAATATGAAGCATAATCTTTCTGCCGTTTACAGAAACGTTGAAATAAATTAAGGTTACATTCACCCCTGAGTCTTTCTTCAGGCATACTATTGAATTAACTTTAGTCGAAATACACGGCGAAATAAGGCTTATTATTGGAGGCATTCAATATTATAAGGTCTCGAAAACCGTTCTGGAACATTTGTTTTCTCTCCAAGTATTTCTAATATTTAACCTAAAATAGTACGTCATAATGTAAAATGAATGTCATAGTAAAGTTAGTTAAGGCGAGTCATCGAAGTAGAAGCGGAAAAAACTGTTCTGCTAGATCATATGGTTTTGGTATTTAGTATTAAATAACGGTCTTATAAAAAAATACACGATACACATAAGGATATTACCTAAAGAATGTGCTAATTCGTTACACGATAGGATGTACTTTACTCGATTATATAAAATCCCGAAAGCATGCTAAAATAAAAGGCTGAAACGAATTATTTAAGAATAAAATATCTAACTTGGCATATTATTTTTGTATGGAGATATTTCTTCTTGAATACTATAGAGAACTAACTAAGTTTTGGTTTTCAACTGAAGTCCTGTGGTTATTAAATTTACATTTATCCCAAAACTTGAAAATTGCACAGCGGTTTAACGACACGCCGCGCTGCCCTCTGCCCGGTCAGTCGTCATCGGGCGCTTGTCAAAGTCAGGTTTGTGTCAAACTTTCTCCGCCTATTCTTATTTTATTCATATTTGTTTTAAGCGCGCAGATTGCGAGACGCTAGGGGCAGTAAAGTCTAGGCTCGCGTTCAAATACCTCGCCTTAAGTATATCTTTATTTGTATTAACAAGCTGAAATGGTCGTGGGTTAGGTTACGTTTCTGTAGGTAGTCGATAAGTAAGTTAATTAAGTAAGTTAGTAAGTTAATTAAGTGGCGACCATGAACTGGTAGCAGGTAGGTAAGTAATATAGTAGGTAGGGTTGGACTATGAACTGAGAAAGACGGCTGGGAGTAACTGGGGGAGAAAGACGGAAATCGTCAGTGGGGTGGCTTTAGGAACTGGTTTATTATCAAAAAGATGTTCTTTTATAAACAATTTATTTTGCTATACTCTATTATTATTATCTATTTTATTAATGAATTTATAACGATTATTTAGTAGATTTTTTGTCACTTCTAATGAAAATGACCAATAAAGAACATATAATATATGGACATGGAAGACCGCAATCAGAGAACAAAAGTAAAGAGAACTCTGTCCGCCCCTCCCTAGCTCCGCACATTGCCGGTCACATTGACTGAACGACAACAAGGCTGCCGGCGAGCCATTTTCGCGCGAAGACGGCTTTGATATTTGAATATAGTTTTCATTTATTCATTACGAAACTTGTACGATAATATTAAACATCATTTTACGTTACTATTTATAATGTTCGTGAATTGTGCTGTGTACGGCTGTTTATTATCATTTTCCGAGAGATGAAACGATATAAGTAAAAAAATTTATGTCTGAGACTCATTCTATTATTGTTTTCTTCATTTATTTACTGCAGAGTAATATAATGTATGTATAAAAATACATATTTATTATATATTATAATGAGGCGCCATGATTCGTGAGCTAGTAGACAAGGGTTCTCGTTCGCGCGCGATCGCACAGGACCCTAGTTCAGCAATAAATACGACAAAATGGAACATTGCTCGCATTACATGGATTCTATATTTGAAAACACGACAATAATGCTAAATGTGCTATGTAAAATTGGGCTACTAGTAACTTGAACTCTAAGCTTTTGTGTTATGTAACAAATCTTAACATAAAAAAGGACCAATTCGAATGAGCTTACACCTCAAATTATCATGGACCAATAACACAAGAGGACTCTAATCTCCAATACTACAGATTTTAATTTTAAAAAAGGTAAACATTCCGTCTTATATCTAGATGGCGCTGATCAATAGCCTGGAAGAAGTTTATATTATGTAAATGGACAAGGATATCAATTACTTCCTATTTAATATGAAATATGAGAAATCGTTTTTTTCCTTGTAAATTTAATATTGATCATGAGCGAAAATCATTTTCTGAACTTTGGCAAATATGCGTGTCAATAGATGGTATTGTGTGTTACAAGTAATTTGTTAATTAATGCTTCCCAGTATCGACAGATAGAGCTAATCAAATTTAATTTAATTTTAATCCATAAATACTACGCAATAAAAGCCATCTAGTTAGGTTTGTTATCACTAGAAATTACAGTAACTTTGATAAATTGTAGCTTGTCAATATAAAGAGTCTTCGTCGAGAGTATATAGGTTAGCCGTTTGGATTTGACACCCAAGGCAGTCTCGAGGCGACGCCAATCTTGTCAAATTTAATGCTATTCTCCTCAAAACGGAGTCCTTTTGAGCTGACTCCGACTTTTCTTGATATCCATACCGATAGCCGACCGTCTCCAGCTTACTTCACACCGGCTTTCATTTGCTTTGATTGCTTCAGCTGTATCAAGCACAAGTCCGGTCGTGTATGCAGTACCTACTGCTGCCACCTTTGGGACGATGCTGCTACATACTAACTGGCCACCTTGGATTATATTGATGAGCGTGCAAGAGACTTATAGGTGACTCGGAATTAGTAGAGGCGAAGCTGCAGAACCTTGAACACCGCCGTAAAGTTGCCTGCTTATCGGTATTTTATAGGATAAATCACGGAGAGTGTGCGATAGAAATACACGATTTAATTCCCACTTCCCCTTTCCATCATCGGGAGATTAGGCGTCGGCTTGGATTCCACCCCTATGTTGTGGATATTCCAAAGACTACCACATTTATATAGCGAACGGCTATGGAGTGGAATTCCCTGCCTGCAGACTTGTTCCCTGAACGTTATGGATCTTGGACCATTTGACCTTTTGGATGATGAACCTTTTCAAGGCGAGAGTGAATAGGCATTATTTAGGTGTGCATGCTCCATCGTCGACCTAAGCGTCACTTTCCATCAGGTGAGATGAAGGTCAAATGCACACTTACATTTAAAGAAATAAATAAAATAACGAATAAAAAAAAATTAAAACAAATTAGTTACAAAAATAGCTATTTGGTACTCACCGCGACATCTGGTGTA